AACATTTACAAATCAGTGTGATATGCCACATTAATAAAAGATAAAAATCACCTCAATGGATGCATAAGAAGCATCTGATAAGATACAACATCCATTTATGATAAAAAACACTCAGGAAAATGGGTTTAGAAGGAAAGTATTGGGTTGTCGGAAAAGTCATGATGTATTTTGTCTATGTTTTTCAAAGGCCATTTATTTATCAAAGGTCAATCAGTGATATATTGCCCGTTTTGTTTGATAACCTTTTGCCATCTTTCAGTGAGCTTCATAATTCCTTGTTCATATAAGGACCTGTCTATATTTGCAAAAAACTGAAGAAGGTGCTGATTTACAGCCTCATCTAAATTGAACGTTATACCACACAGGAGGGGTTTTTTTGTGTTTTTGTTTTTTGTTTTTGTTTTTTTTAAGCTGAGCCGTCTTGCCACCTGTTGGCAGCTCAGCGGCAGCTCAGCTTGGGCCGGGCATCGAACCACTGTTGCTCAGATCTCAAACTCTTGAGCAAGCTCTTAACCAACTGTGCCACTTGGCCGGCCCTTTTTTTTTTCCCCCCCACACACGCGTTTTGAAGAGAGTTAAACAAGTGGAAGTCTTGACAGCGCAAGGTCAGTCGAGTATGGTGGGTGTGGCAACACATCTCATCCGAGTTCCAATAATTTTTTACGGATGATCAAACTTGTATGTGGTCTCGTGTTCTCGTGATGGAACACAACTTCTTTACAATTAAGTTCTGGACGTTTCTGGATGATGGATTCGTTCAAACTGTCCAATTGCCGACAGTACACATTTCAATTGATTGTTTGGTTCCTTGGTAAAAGCGCAAAAACCACGACACCTTTAAAATCCCACCACACTGAAAGTATGACCTTCCTGTGATGAATGTCTGCTTTCAATGTCGTTTGAGGCGAATCATCATGTCGGAATCAAGACTGTTTGCGCATCACATTGTTGTAAACATTCCACTTCTCATCACCGGTTATCAGTTGTTTCAAAAAAGGATTGTTTTCCTCACGTTTAATGAGCATATTGCAGATGTTTATACGCGCCGTCAAATGAACTTTGAGTTCATGCGGAACCCAAATATCGAGCTTGCTTACGTATCCCAGCTTCTTCAGGTGGTGGTGAACGCTTGAATGATGGATGCTTAATGTTTCTGCAATCTCTCATGTTGTGTAAAGTGGGTTTGACTTGATCAATGCCTTTATTTTGTCATCATCAACGTCGGTGGGCCTCCCTGACCGAGGAGCATCATTGAGATCAAAATCACCAGCATGGAATTTCGTGAACCATCGTCAGCACTGACGTTTTTGTAGAGCATTGTCACCGTAAACTTTATGCAACTTTTCACAAGCTTGATGCACGTTCTTCCCTTTATGGAAGTAAAACAGTAAAATATGGTGAAAATGCACAGTTTGGTCTTCCATCTTCAACTTGTAAAATCTCCAAAACTCAAATCGGTCAATTTTTTTTTAGAATGAAGCTAGAACTNACAGTATATTCCACATTCTGTGACGATATATACATATACATATACATACATATACATACATACATATATATACATACATACATATATATATATATATATATATATATATATATATATATATAAATAAAACTATAGTTGACATACAATATTATTCAACGTCAGCTTCAGATGTATAGTGCAGTGGTCTACGCCATCCATGAAGTGGTCTCCCTAACAAGATGTGACCATCTGACACCCTACAAAATATTTACAACATTATTAATTATATTCCCTGAACTGTCTTTCATATTCCTATGTTAATATTGTAGTTACCAATTTATGCTGTCTAATCCCTTCCCCTTATCCCTCAGCCCTATCCCCTCCCATCTAGCAACCATCAGTTTTAAGTCCTAATATAATGTTATATGTTGTGCAAGTGGGACTTTATTTAGCAGTAGGTGGGCAGTAACTCCTAAAGCATATGTCCTGTTTACATTAAAAACCCTCTGACACCCCAGATTGTGGGGTTTTCCCACTAAATGGAAACAGGGCTTTTTGAGAAATGACTTTCAAGGTCTGGCTGGGATAGGAGATACATAAGATGAGACTAGGGTATTTTATTATGCTAGAAAGTAAGAAAACCATGTAAGTCTCATAGAGTTATATCAGGCACAGGAGCAACCTTAAAAGGGCTCTTAGTGGCCTAAGATGGGACAATTTGAGCATCACAAGGAATGATGAATGCATTCTTGGATTATGAGTTGAAATAGGTTGAAATACATCAAATCTATGAAAATTTATAAATTCGTAATAATGCATTTTTTTTAAACCTCATTTATCAATCATTGTAAGTTATTAGAGCTCGAACACATTACTCTGAAAGCTGGTAAATAAAGGATTAAGCATTTATCCTGCCTTTCCTGTATGAACTGTATTTAGGAAAACCAAATAGTCAAGGCGATTTTAGGTTTTGTTTTGTTTTAAATTTTATTGGGGAACAGTGTGTTTTTCCAGGACCCATCAGCTCCAAGTCAAGTAGTTGTCTTCAATCTAGTTCTGAAAGGCGCAGCTCCGTGGTCCATATGGGAATTGAGCCTGTGCTCTAACCACCTGAGCTAACTGGCCACCTTTGTTTTTTAAGACTTTTTTTTTTTTTTAAGATTTTTTTTATTGGGGAATCGGGGAAGGGGAACAGCCAAGTTGTTGTCCTTCAATCTTAGTTGTGGAGGGTGCAGCTAGCTCAACTCCCAAGTCCAGTCACCATCTGACTGCCCATCAGCAGCTCGGCAGCTCAGCTCAAGGTGCTGTGTTCAATCTTAGTTGCGGGTGGGCATAGCCCACCATCCCATGCAGGAGTTGAACAGGCAATCTTGTTGTTAGGAGCACGTGCTCTCACCAGCTGAGCCATCCTGCCACCTGTTGGCAGCTCGGGCGCAGCTCACTGGCCCATGTGGGAATCGAACTGGAGACCCTGTTGCTCAGAACTCATGCTCTTAACCAACTGAGCCACTCGGCCGGCCCTTTTAACACTTTTTTTGAGAGTAATTTAAGGTTCACAAAAAAATTGAGAGGAAGGTACACAGATTTCTCATATACCCTCTGTCTCCATACATGCATGGCCTCCCCATTAGCAGCATGACTCACCAGAATGGTGCATTTGTTACACACCATAATCACCCAAAGTTCATAGTTTACCTTAGGGTTCACTCTTGGTATTATACATTCTGTGGATTTGGACAAATATGTAATGATATACACCCATCGTAATATACACAGCATTTTCACTGCCCTAAAAATTCTCTGTGCTCTGTCTATTCATCCCACCCACTCCAAGGAAGTCTTTTTTTTTTTTTAAGATTTTTTTGGGGAATTAGGGGAGAGAGCAGCGTTGGGGAATCGGGGAAGGGGAACAGACAAGTTGCTGTCCTTTTCTTCAGTCTAGGTGTGGAGGATGCCGCTTCAGTGGCCCACGTTGGTATTATGATCATTGCACTCTTTCTGGGTGAGACAGTTGGTTGTCGGCCATTGGTCGGCCGCTCACGGTGGCTCATGGCAGCTCACACTAGCTGCCGGCCGCTCCCTCTGGCTGCCAACTACTCAACAGTAGCTCATGGTAGGCCACTGCAGCCTTCGTCGTTCGCCGGCGATTCACGGCAGCCCAGTTCCAAGTTGAGGTGTTGTTCACCATCTTAGCTGTAGAGGGCACAGTGTCTCTGGCCCCCATGTGGGATCCGAACCAGCGGCCGTGCTGCTCAGAGCTCGTGTTCCCAAGTGAACTCTTAACCAACAAAACACTTGGCTGGCCCGGAAGTTTTTTTTTTAAGATTTTTTTTTTTTTTTTATTGGGGAATTGGGGGAAGGGGAACAGACAAGTTGCTGTCCTTTTGTTCTTCAGTCTAGTTGTGGAGGACATTGCTTCACTGGCCCAAGTNGGGCCCTGGTTCAGATCCCACATATGAGGGCCAGTGCAACGTCCTCCACAACTAGACTGAAGAACAAAAGGACAGCAACTTGTCTGTTCCCCTTCCCCCGATTCCCCAGCACTGTTCCCATCTCCCAATTCCCCAATAAGAAAAAAATCTTTAAAAAAAACCCAAAAAGTTATTAAAACTTAAAGTAGGTCAGTCACCTTTCAGTAATACTTTGTGATTATTAGCTTAGTAATATGTTCTAAAGTTCAGAACAAGTTTCTGGGGTTTTTTTGTTTTATTATTTTATTGGGGAATTGGGGGAGGGGAACAGTGTTGGGGAATCGGGGAAGGAACAGACAAGTTGCTGTTCTTTTGTTTAGTCTAGTTGTGGAGGACGTCCCTTCACTGGCCCACCTGGGTTTTAATACCAAATGTCATTTTAACTCTGCTGTAAGTAGAAAGTGGGTTTTTTTGTGGGCGAGGGGGAGGTAAACTGAGATATAGTAGTGGTTATGGTTAAAACTCAGCGAGCCAGAATGGCTTGGAGTGTTAAGTCAACTCCCAACTCTCCTCATCTTGAGTTTGTTTTTGCTGTTACTTTTGTGTTTTTAATTTTAACCTGATATTTCTTAAACTTGAGAAGAAATATAATATCTTAAAATAAAAGTTGAAGCAATGATGACTAAAGCCAGACTTCATACTGTACCACAAAAGACCTTGGACTGCCTAACTGCAGCCGCAGAAGAACCCCATGAAACCATATTTGACCAACAGGGCCCTTTTTCTTGCCCACTTCTTTTCAACGCCCTAATACTAGCAAACAAATTGCTGAGTTGAGTCTTTTAAAAGATACTGACAAATGACCAAGGGTCAGTAAAGTAGAATTAGCTTTTAGCAGAAGGGTCGAGCTCTACTGTGGGCTAATATAATAATTGAGTGGAAAAGAGAGTATTCAGATCCAGTTAGCAACTGCCTAAATCTGCTTTCTTGCTTCAGGGTTCAAAGGCAGCATTTAATGGCCTGGAGATGAGTTGAAATGGAGGATTTACCTTCAGATTACTATGAGTTCTTGTGATGTTGGTCTATTATACTATAATTCTTTTGTCTTTCTGCCTGCATAGGTCCAGAGCACCGTTGGATGCTTACTTTCAAGTGAGCAGGACCCAGCCTCATTTGCCAACTACCTCTCATGATTCAGCGGCTAGTAATCCTGTCCCTGAAGACTTGCAGATATTAAGTAATTCCGATTCTGACAGTGACAGTTCCATAGAGTATGAAGAGGTTGTTGTCCAGGAGGAAGAACCTGGAGCTGTCATTTTAGAAGGTGAGTTGTTTTATCCAGGTTTGGATTCACAAGGCTAACACCTAGAAAGCTTAGACTCCAGAAAGCTAGAAATTAGATATGTGCTTTGATTCTTTCCCTTTACCTCCCCAAATGTTATAGATTCCTGCCTTATAGTACAGCTGTCACTGGCCATAATTACATAGAGAGGATTTGATCTGATTTGCAATTTAAAGATTTGTAACCCAGTGAGTCAGTTACTTTGTAATGATATTTCATATTCCCTTTCATTTTCTTAGATCTCTAAGAAGGAAGTAGATTCTTCTTCTTCTTCTTACTCTTCCTCTTCCTCCTCCCCTCCCCCTCCTCCTCTCCCTC